ATGTATTGTTATGTTTAGTTTTTTGAGAGAGAGAGGAAGATGGGACAACATAGGAGGGTAGAAATCTGAAGTAGATGTGAAAAACTTACTGAAAGTGTGATGATATACTATGCTGGCTAAGTAGATGTCTGTTACATTGTAGTCTTTGCTTTCTGGATATTTTAAGTGTCTCATAATTACATACTAATCTTTAAAAGGTACTCTTGATCCATTAAGTGAAAAAATATAAATATAACTCAGTTAGACCTATAGGTTCTAAACCTAAAAGACCCATTTCAAACTGACTTTTAAAAAGGAGTGGGAAATTTATTAAGTAAATAAGAAATCAAGATGTAGACCTGGCTCAATGGCTTACATTTGTAATCCCAGCACTTTGGGAGCCCAAGGAGGCAAGACTCCTTGAGCCTAGGGGTTCGAGACCAGCCTGGGCAACATAGCAAAACCTTGTCTCTAAAAGAGAAATGAATAAATAATAGCCAGGTGTGGTGGCACATGCCTGTAATTCCAGCTATTGGAGGCTGAGGTGGAAGGATCACATGTGCCTAGGAGATGGAGGCTGTAGTGAGCCATGATGGTGGCACTGCACAATAGCCGGGACAACAAAGTGAAATCCTGACACTGACAACAACAACAAAAAAAGCCAGACTCGGTGGCTTAGCCTGAAATCCCGCGCTTTGGGAGACCAAGGTGAGTGGATTGCTTGAGTCCGTGGGTTCAAGACCTGCCTGGGCAACTTGGCGAGACCTCATCTCTACAATAAATCAAAAAAATTAGCCTGTAGTTCCAGCTACTTGGAAGGTGGAGACGGAAGGATCGCCGGAGCCCAGCAGGTCCAGGCTGCGGTGGCCGGAAGCAGCCACTGCACTCCAGTCTGGGTGACTGAGTGAGACTCCAACTCAAAAAAAACAAAAACAAAAAACTGACAACTTTCAGTTGAATTCCAGTAGCTCCAACAATATTATCACCAACAGCTCTGATTCTCCACATCTCTCTGTTCTGTTTTCTAAGTTATTGGCTTCATTATTAGTGCTACACAAAGCTCCCTAACTTGGCCACCAAAGTTACAGCCTTCCTCATGGTACTTCTAGATATTAGTTTTCATTCCTGCACTATACTGTCTAGGGGAGGAAAGACAAAGCTCTTTCTTTGGCTCAGCAGACCATTCCTTGCTCCTCAGTGGTTCTGTTTGGCTTATGTACCCATCTCTGATCAGAACCTTAGGGTTGCTATTATAGAATCAGCTAAGTGACTTAAGTCAGCCAGGGTCTATTGTCTAGGAGAGTGGTTTTCAATGGAGGGTGATTTTGCTCCCTAGGCTACATTTAGCAACGTCTGGAGACGTTTTGGTTGTCATACTGGAGGATGCAACCAGCATCTAGTGGGTAGAGAGCAAGAATGCCACTAAGATCCTACAACTCACTGGGCAACTGCAACCTACTCCCTTCACCTATCCATATGTAGAGTAAGGAATTATGTGGCCTCAAATGTCTACAGTGATGAAGTGGTGAAATTCTGCTCGAGTCATCCTATTCGAGTCTCATGACTAAGAATGGAAGCAGGAAGAGGAATGTTCCTCAAAGAAAAATCAGAGTATAGTTTAGAAAGTAGGGGAAGTAATTAAAACATCAATTACAATATACATTTAAAAGATTGAAACAATGTACATCAAAATATTATCAGTAATGATTTCTCAGATTGTGTTCAAGAATGTTTGGGGTACTTCTATTTTCTAATTTATCTAAAATGGATATGAAGTTCTGTGAAATTTTAAAAGAGCATTTGAAAAGTACAAGATTATCATCTCACCAAGCAATACTAACCCCTTCCAAAATTGTATGCCTCCGAACAGATCAGTTTCACTTGCATACTTTTACACATTGTTTTTGTTAGGTATTGACTATTTTGTGTTCTACTTTTTTCCCCTTGACATTATTTCATGTAGATTATTCCATAAATCCAGATAGCCTTTCTATTTGACATTTTAATGGCTTTATAATGTTTCATTATATTACTACGCTAAGATTTACTTAGTCATTTCCTGGCTGTTAATGAATTTGGATTCATCTGCCTTTATGAAAATCATAGCTATAAACTTTGCAAAACTGGAACTTTCTTTGCTATTGAGTTCTTTCCTTGGGATTTACTCCCCAAAGCAGACTTCCAAATCCAGGATTATAATGAGTTTTGTAATCTTTATTACATATTGTCAGTTTTCTTTCCAGAAAAAGAATGCCACTATTTCTGCAGGCAATGTATGTCTACCTGAGTTCTCAAACCTCTGTTAACTTTGATTTCTAAAAAAATCTATTAGTAATAATTTAATATGTATGGGGTAATATATTAGGCTATTTTAATTTTAAATTCTTTAATTATTATGGAAACTAAATATTTTCCCAAGCATTTGTTCGCTATTTGTATTTTCCCTGTGCAGACCATCTGCTCACATTCTTTGACCATCTGTCTAGTCAGACCTGAGTATTGCCCACATAGATAATATTAATTTCCCTAATATACATAATATTAAATGTTTACTACTATGTGTATTGCAATGCTCTCATGTTGTTATCCCTTTCACATTTCTAATTTGGGACTAATAATCTTTTATTATTCATTTTGTAGTATGTATTTAAATTTTTATGTTCCTGAAACACTCAATCTTATCATTGGTTCATTGGTAACTCCTTCTATTGCTTACATTGTTATAAAAACCTTTTTATTCCAAAATAAATGTGTAGCTTTTTTTTTTACTTCATATGTGTATATGTACGTGTGTGTGTGTGTGTGTGTGTGTGTGTGTGTGTGTGTTTTGTAGGGAATTTCAAACTTTTCCTCTGAAGGTTTGGCAATTGAGTCATCCTACCAAAATAAATGACCCATAGATTAGCAGAAGAAAGGGCATACACACTTAGTAACATGCACATGGACCCACAGAGTTCCACAAGTATGGGACTCAAAGAGAGATCAGATGGTTGAAACATATTTCTTGTTAACTGGGGAGAGAGAAATGGAGGAAATTTATAAATTTTGAGGATTTGGGAATTATTTTTAGATAAAATTAGTAGGCCCAAAGAACAGACAATAGTTTTTAAATGCTTCTCTTGGGAAGCTGAATAGAACTAACAAGTTTTGGGAAGGTGAGGGGCAGAACTTCACTGTGAACAAAGATTGCCTTATTATGCAGATAAGGTTTCCCAGGTAATTTCTTGGAGTTGCCCTCAGAAGAACAGAAGAAAACTTTGCCTAGGTATGGTGACAGCTTTTAGTCTTTTCTCTAGTGGTTGATCTTTCCTGATCATTTGATGAAATTTCTATGGTGGGTGTTTTAAGACAGTTGCATTTCTTTTGGGAGAAGTTTTCTTCAGTCACATAAAGGAACTTCCAGAGAGCTCCCATCTGTGCTGGGGGGGTAGAAACAAGAGAAGGTTACAAAGTCCCTGGTTCTGGGGCAGTTTCTAAGGCCTTCCAATTTCTTTTCATTTTTGAGTTGGGATTTCATTCTGTTGCCCAGGCTGGAGTGCAGTGGCACAATCACTGCTCATGGCAGCCTCAACCTCCTGGGCTCAAGCAAGCCTCCAGCCTCCAGAGTGGCTGGTACTACAGGTGTGTGCCACTTCCTCAGGCTGATTTTTGTTTTTTTCTTTGTGTAGAGATGAGGTCTTGCTATGTTGCCCAGGTTAGTCTCAAATTCCTGGGCTCAAGCAATCTTCCTGCCTCAGACTCCCAAATTGTTGGGATTACAAGCATGAGCCACCAAACCTGGCTCCAATTTCTTTTATTTCTAAAGTGCTCTGCATGCTAAAGCAACATACTTTGGGGTCTTGTACCTTAAACCCAACATTGTATACATGTACATATAATACATTTAACTCAGAAATGAATTATTTTGGCTAAAGTGAGTCATCAATCTAAGCCTTAAACTCTAAGGTTATTTTCTCTGTATTGATAGTCACTTTCCCTCAAAATGTATGTTGAGTAATTTTATATCCCTTTGCTTATAATAGATTAAATATGTGCTAAGTTAAGGAATCTCTATTTTATCTCTTTGGTCTTTTTTTGGTTATTAATCCAATCAGAACAGTGTGTTGATACCTACTCTTTCTTGATAAGGCACTTTAATATGTAGTGATTCTACTTCTCAAATATTACCTTTAAAAAAAATAGACTTCTTATCACATTTACTTTAGTTATTAGTTTCTGCAAAATAATTCATTGGGATTATAAATAATATTGCTTAAATCTGTAAATTCACCTTAATATTATTTTAAGCTTCATCATTTCAGCTCTCTGGTCAGTAGGAGAGTATATCTCTCCATTTTTCACCAAAAGTCGTACAATGATAGACTTAAGAGAGTTTGGATATCATCTAAGTTCCAGTTTTAGGCCACCCTTCCCTCTACTCATACCATATTCTAGATGACTAAACCAAGATCCAGAGATTGACTTGTCTAAGAATCTGTATCTGATAAGAAAATAGCTGAAAATAGAATCCAGAACTCATCTCATGCTATATTTTTTTCTATGAGACCATTTATTCAGGTCTTTGTTTACTGTCTTTAAAGCTTTAAGACTACTTTTATATGTTTTACAGATCTTAGTTAGCTATATCCCAGTTAGTTTCTAGAAATTTTCTAGATTGTGATAGAACAAAAATAAGCATTGATTAGGGCAGGTAGAAGCCAAGTAAGTTTCTTTAGTGAGGAAAAATTGTGCAAAGTTTATTCCAGTTTCTTGTTCTTTCCCAAAAGGTCTTTTGGTAGAGAAAAGCAAATTGGTTTTTGAACAAATCTCCCTTTTTCTGGGTCACTCTATCTTATCTTTTTAAGGATTTTATTAACAATAATTGTTTCATGTGTACTCACAGTTTACAGGGAAGTTTGTTAGACATTCAGAGGGTGAAAGTTATAGAAATCTGTTTTTCCTGAAGATTCTTACAATCAAATTCAGGATATCAGATATATACCGCATCGGTTTCATGAAACAGAAACTACAAATACCAGTGCTTTAAACAATATATGGTTTTATTTGTCCTTCACGTAACAGAAAATTTGAAGGTAGGCAATCCACAGACAGTATACCAGCTCCACAGTGTCATCAGAAATCTGGGCTCCACACATTCTTCAACAGAAGACTGCTAGAGCTCTGGCCATCAGGACTAATCTCCCAGCAGAAAGAAAAGAAAGAGAAAAGGCCAGTGCTAGTCAGTTCCTCTTTAACTAGCTTTCTTGATAGACAGTGATGTCTGCTTCATCATTGCCCATAACCGTGTAATATGACCACCACTGGCTACAAGGGAGTTAGCTAGGCATATTGCTATTTGAAATAAAATCAAAGATCTATTTGTAAATAGAGGAGGATGGATATTGCTCTGGTGACTGGTAGACTCTATTACTTAGTGTATGAAGTAAAAGGTAAAACATAAAGTAGTGCTTTGTTTAGGCTAAGACCATAGGGTCAAGAATATAAGATTAATGCATGGACTTGATGTTTGCTAAGTGAGATTTAGACAAATGGTGATGGGAATAGGTCATTTTAAGATCAGAAAGTGTCTGAGCAAGGATGAGGCAAGAGTTGTCACAGCTGGTTAAAGGAGAATGGTGGTAGGGAGGTAGGGAGTGTAGCAATGTACAGACATTCAGGGATGGATTATCAGCGCTGCTTACCAATCACTATTTTCTTCATTAAACCTTCATAACAGTAATTAACATTTATTAAAACCAACTGTGTGCCAAAGGGTTTGCTACATTGTCTCTAATCCTTTCAATAACCCCATTTTAGGGAGAAGAAAATAGAAACTGAGACAGATTGAATATTTGACCAAGGTCATGCATCTTTTAAATTTAAGGTATTCTGACTGGGGTCAATCTTACACAATTCACTTCTTTACTTAGGATTGGGGGTGGGTATGGGTGGGTTAAACTTCTGCTATTTCTTGATATTTTCTGAATTCTAAACTTTAGCAGAACTTTACAAACTCTTCAACTAACTAGCAGTGTAATCATGGATAAGGTACTTAATCTTCCTGGATTTGAATTTGTTTCCTTATTACTCATACAAAACCAGACAGATATTACAAGAAAAGAGCACTACAGACTAACATCCTTCATGAACACAGATGCAAAAATTCTAAAAACTTGTAATCCATGAAATCCAACAATATATAAAACAAGCAATAAAATAGATAAAGGGGGCTTTATTGCATAAATACTAAGTTGGTCTGATGTTTGAAAATCAAGTAATATACTTAAAAATAGAAAAAAATATATATCAATAATTGTAGAGAGGCATTTGACAAACTTCCAACATTCCTTCCTAATAAAAAACTCAACACACTACAAATAGATGGGAAATTCCTCAATCTGATAAAGAGCAACTATGAAAAACTTATAGCTAATATTATACTTAATGGTGAAAGACTGAATGCTTTTCCTCTAAGATCAGGAATAAGACAAGGATGGTCACTCTCACCACTTCTATTAAAGTTCTAGCCAGTTCAATAAGGCAAGAAAAACTAATCAAAGGCATTTGTAGTGAGAAGGAAAAAGTAAAACTCTTTCTTCACAGATGACATGATTATCTATGTGGAAAATCTGATAAAATCCATAAAAATGTTACTAGAACAAATAAATGTTTAGCAAGATTGTAGAATATAGATCAATTATGAGATCTACATAAGCAATCAAATTGAACTTAATAAAACATTACTGGCTGGGTTTGGTGGCTCAGTCTGTAATCCCAGCACTCTGGGAGATTGAGGCAAGTGGATTGTCTGAGTCCGCAGGTTCGAGATCAGCCTGGGCAACTTGGTGAGACCTCAACTCTACAATAAATAAAAATTAGCTGGGCGTGGTAGCATGTGCCTGTAGTTCCAGCTACTTGGAAGGCTGAGGCTGAAGGACCACCGGAGCCCAGCAGGCTGATGCTGGTGTGGCTGTGAGTGTGCCACTGCACTCCAGCCTGGGTGACAGAGTGAGACTCCACCTCAAAAAACAAACAAAAAACAATATCACAGCATTAAAAATATAAAATGCTTTAGGATAAATCTGTCAAAATATGTGCAAGACCTATACACTGAAAATCACAAAACATTACTGATAGATGTTAAAGAAGATGTAAATAAATGGAGAGGCATATCTCACACAAGTCAGATGATTCAATATTGTTATGATATCAATTCTTCCCAAATTTACAGATAGAGTCAATGTAATCCCATCCAAAATTCAAGCAAGCTGATTTGTAGAAATTGAGAAGTTGAATCTAAAATTTATGTTGAAATAAAAAATACTTAAACTAGCCAAAATGACCTTGAAAAAGAACAGAAGTATAGCACAAAAATTAGCTAATTTCAAATCTAGTAATTGGGACATTGTAGCACTGATGCAAAAATAGGCAAATTGATTAATGGGACAGAATAGAAAATCCAGAAATAGACCCATAAGTAGATGAAAAACTGATTTTTGACATAGATTCAAAGGCAGTACAGTGAAGAAAGGAAGTCTTTTCAACAAATGATGCTGGAACAATTGAATATTGATATACACAAAAACGAAAACAGAACAAAAAATTTTGCCAAATACAAAAATGAACTTCAAAATGGGTCATAAATCTAAATATAAAACTTAAAACTTTACAACACAGGAGAAAATCTTTGTGATCTCGGTTTAGGCAAAGATTTCTTAACTATGACAACAAAAAGCACAAGACAAAAAAAATTGATGAATTAGACTTCATCAAAATTGAAAACCTCTGTTCTTCCTAAGACACTATTAGGAGCTAGAAAAGACAAGCCACAGATGGGAGCAAATATTTGTAAAGCATATATTTGATTTCAAAAATTGTATCTAGAATAAATAATTGAGTTCAAACTCAAACAACCCGATAATAAACGGGTAAAAGGCTTGAATAGGCACCAAAAGAAAATATATTCACTGCAAATGAGCACAAGAAAAGATGTGTAACATTATTTCCCAGTCGAGAATGCAAAAATAAAACCACTATGCGCTACCACTACACACTATTGCAATGCCTACAATTGAAGAGTCTGGACATCTCGAATGGTGGCAAAGATGAAGAGGAATTGGAACTGACACACACTGTTGGTGGGATATAAAGTGAAACAACCATTTTGAAAACAGTTTGGCTGTTTCTTTTAAAGTTATGCCAACATTATATAATGTAGCCATTCAGTTTCCAGGTTTTTGCCCAAGATTTATCCATACCAAGCTTTGTACAGGAATGTTCCAAGCAGCTGTAGTTCTTTTCCCTTCCTCTCTCCCTCTCTCTCCCCCTCTCTCCCTCCGTCCTTCCTTTCCTCCCTTCCCCTCTTTCGTTTTTTGGTCGGGGTCTCACTCTCTCACCCAAGCGGGAGTGCAGCTGCACGATCTCAGCTCTCGGCAGTCTCTACCTCTTGGGCTCAGGCGATCCTTCCTCCTCAGCCTCCTGAGTAGCGGGGACTACAGGCGCGCCACCACGGCCCGGCTCAATTGTTGATTTTCTGTAGAAAGGTGATCTCGCTCTATTGCCCAGCTGGCCTCGAACTCCTGGACTTAAGCAATCCACCGCCTTGGCCTTTCAAAGGCGTGAGCTACCACTCCGGGTGCAGCTGTAGTTCTTATAAGGAAAAATCGAAAGGAACCTAAATCAACGGGTAACTGGATAAATACGTGGTGGCATATGTATAAACGGAATACTACTCAGCAAACAAGGAATAAACGACGGCTACCTGCAAAAGCCTGCAGCCATGTCAAGATAATGATGCTGCATGAAAGAGGCCGGCTTGTACGATTGTCTGATTTCATTTATAGGCAACTCTAGAGAATGCAAACAAACTAAAACAGATTCGAGTTTGGGCTGGGGTGAGTGGAGAGGGGGATGGGCGAAGTGGGGTGGGGCAGGGCAGGAGCAGGAAAGGAGAAGCTGGCAGGGGCGTGAGGGCGTTGGGAGAGGGAGAAGGAGGCTAGGGAGGGTCAAGGGCAGGGGCGGAGGAAGAGTAGGAGGTGGAAGACGGTATGGGAGGGGCGGGGCCGACGAAGTGAGGGGTGAGGGAGAAGGAGCCTGGGAGGCGTGCGGGCTCGGGGTAGCGGGTGAGGATAGGGAGAAGAGGGGTGGAGGAAGAGTGGTGAGAACGTGGAGGAGAAACGGCGACCGGGAGAAGGT